AAGATGAAAATCTCAGGAAACAAGGCAGAGGGGAATTCTTGAACATCAAAAAGTGGCATTTTCAAGATGATATTTTGATGGTGTAAGGGTAAAATGTCAGAGACCTAAGGATAAAAAATATACAGGGATTTAAAATGATGGGGCAACACTTGGTAGAGCATAGTATGTGTTTTGCCAAACCCAGTATTTTCAGCAGATCCCTGAAGGTGGATATTTTTCTTGAGTGGGATCAAATAAGGAAGAGGGAATAGCCATGAAAGCATTACTCAAAATATATACTAAAGAGTATAAATACACTGCAATTAGCAAGCTGTGCCTAACACCAAGACCTGCAATTCATAACAGCTTGTCAAGAATTTTTTGAGAAGTTTTAGTTGCCCTTTTCTGGCACAGAATCATTTTTCTTTGCTTTTCTTCTTCTCTCCTTTTTTTCTTTCTTTTAAAAAGAGATATAAAAGAATTTATTAAGCAGAATTTTAAAAGGATACACTCAAAAATATGGAGTGGGGCTATCAAGAGAAAGGCACATTATAATCTGGAGCTGAGAATATTAATGTGTTTTAGGGATAGAAATCTGTGAAAGTTGTTAATCTATAAAATGTCTCAGTTTGTTTCCAGGAAAAAGTGACTGCTCATACAGCATTAGAAAGATAATAGCTTATTTTACAGGAAAAAGGAAAGGCCCATTGTACTGTTTTAATTTTTATTTCTTGTTTGCCTTTTTTTTTAACATGGATGATCTGAGATGTTTTGCCTAAATACATTTTTGAAAACTTTGTGTCTGTTTCTCTATCTTAAAGTCAGATTATTAGGCTTTACTTGTCAACTAAGCTAATTTATAGGCTTCTAGTACTTTTAACAGATTTTGAATAAAAAAGAAGTATAAACAAGCCTGAGGTGTGCAGATATGGATATCCAAGGGTTACTTTGACTGTGTTATGAACCTGAAATCTTCTCAAAAGTGCAATTTTTAAATTGTGATATTCTTGTCTCCTTCCTGCTTTCTTTATTTGTTCTACCTTATTCTTCATCCCTTGACTTTGAGCCCTCTTCTTAAGGGATACAGAAGAACCAAATATGTGTCTTCTTATGTCTGGTCTTCCTTTCATCCCTCTTCTTTTTAACCCCTATATTCTATTTAACCCCCTATATTTTAACCCCTTTTGAATGCCACTTCTTAAAAGTATGTTCATGTAGTAAATTATGTATTTTAATGAGGCAAACGCATCAACATTTCATTTCTCTAAAAGTATTATATGTACTGAGCTCTAGGTAAGGTAGTGCTGACATCTATATTTATTTAGAAAAAAACTACCATATATGATGTGAGCAATTATATCTGAGAATCACATTAAACCTTTACATAAAAATTGTATCGTGTGCATGTGGGGTTAAAGGCTAGTCTTTCAGCCACAATTGTTACCACCAATCATAGGTTGTCTTCTGCTCTGCTGCCTTGTCTGCTGCTTCCAATGAAAGTTGATAAACAGGTGCTATCTGGATGCCTCACTGCTGTTCATTCTTCTCATCTGCTTCTCAGCAGGGATGTGTCTGCTGAGCCCGTCCTCAGTGCTCACAGACTGGTTCGCATTCAGTCTGAACAAATTGCTGCTCTCTCCTGCCATGTGATGTTAAATAGTCCTTCTAAGGGACATTGGACAAATAGCTCCAGAAAACAGACTTAGGAACTGGTTGACATTTCTTAAAAATAAATATTTTACTACTTTAAAAAAAAAACATTTCATTTGTACTAGAATTTGGCAGGTAGAATTTTAAACTTAGATCTAAGGCTGTAATAATTTTGCAAGCCAATAAAGATAAGACCATCTGAGCACTAGAATGACCAACACACTCAATCGCAGTGTACATATCATGATCTCTTTAGACCATAGAATTGAACTAATTAGAATAATTAATAAGTTAGCATAAATAAACCCTCATGCAGAATATACAGCAATCATCTTCTTACCCTAATGTTTCTTTCAGCTCAGTATGAGCATCCCAGTACAATTTCTGGAACATGATGAGGTGTTTCTAAGTATGAGGATAGGGAATAATAAAGTCATTAACTCTACCTTGTGGAAGTTTTTCTTGCCAGCATGGGACCTAGAACAATGCAATACTTTCAGTCTAAGAAGTCTGATTGGAGTTTCCATTCCATGCAAAAAGATGGCCCAAGTCTCTGGGATGACTGCAGGAAAGATTAATAGAAGTATCATTATGTGAGGTCACAAGACTTTAAGCCTTAATAACATTAAGACTGTCCTATTACTCTTTGCAAAACCACTCAAGTACTGTAGCTGTTATTTGAGAGAAAAGGGTATAACTAGTTGAAAATTTTTGAAAGAATGAATCTATCTCTAGAATAAAGAAACAGAGAACTAGTTCTCTCTTTTTTATTGAGTTTATTGGTACATTTTAGGTATACAGCACAGTTACATTCATCATTGGGATCTTGTACCTTTACATGAGAGGTCTTGGTTCTCATTTTTGCCTCTTCTCCCTGCCCTCCCTTTGCCCCCTACTCCCTTCCTCATTTACAGACACTTTATTTCTATTTTTTCATTTTCTCATATTTTTTCTTTTCCCTTATCCCTTTCACCTACCCTTCCCACTTTCCCTACACCTTTAGCTCTTTTCTTCCTATTTCATATTGTTAATTATCTCATTAGGATATTGTGTACTATTATAGTTACTTTTTTTAATAACAAAATATTTACTGATACATTTTAGATGTACATAATGATAACACTCATTATTTTTTCAATTAAAGGCACCATTTTTGCCTGAAAATACATGCATACTTCTTTTATAATGGGTTGAAAGATTTTGTAGCTTTCTGGTATATAAATGCAGGTTTTGAGTAAATGTTTTATTTTCATAAGAAGAAAGTTTAAGTGAACAACAAATTTTGTCTCTGGTTATGCAGTAAATATTTCAATATGTTTTCCTAAAGAAAGAGATCTCCTCTGAGATACTACTTGTTAGGAAAACATCTTTTTTCTTTCAAACTTTTATAGAAACCAAAGATGTCCAGAGTTAAACACTGAACATATGATATGGGCTTCAGGAGGTAGACAAAATTCCCTGGCCTCAAGAAAATTTTAGAAAGGGGACAGTACATGTGGAATAAGAGTTGACAAAGAAAATGAATACATTTTAAAAAATACTAACAAAAATATGCTATTGAATACTGTAGTTCTAAAAATTACCAAAGATAGCTTCCTTAGGTTCTTTTAGACTTGTGGGGAACATAGTGAAGTAAAAGAAATTTCCTGAGCATGAAATTTTTGAAAAATGCTTTGGTATAATTATCATAAATCGTTAGCATAGTACTTTTTTCCCTATTCATTCAAAAGTATATTTAACAAATAAAGCTAAGTACTGTGCTATATACAATATTAGGAGTATAACAATGAATACCTCAAAAACTCTCATCTATATCTAAATGAGTCTTGCAAAAAGCCGATTCAATCTCTGTGAGATTTTAGGGCTGTGGGACAACTCATTTACCTACAATTATCTCTTCTCACTTGCCCTGTTGTAGATGGTTTTAGGGTTTTTTTGTTTTTGTTTTTGTTTTAGGATTGTCAAGTTTCAGGTATTTACTCATACAATATTCATTGGTGTGACTCTTAATGTTATCAAGTATCTAGGCATTTGAAATCCAGATGTGAGAATTATATTTCTCTGCTTTCAATAGAATCAGCACGGGCATAGGCACAGGCAGGTAAGCAGACTATTACAATATGATTCTATACATGCTATCAAAGTAATAACGAAAAGGTTAACGTGGAGATCTGGGATGTGGTATGTAAAGGAGCTTCAAATCAATCATGGGAAAAGCCTCTAACAAACACCACACAAATTAAATTTTAAAGTATATTTAGTATGTTAGGATTAAGAAAGATGACAACATGGTAGAATTAGTACTAGAGTCAAAGATGGAACTGAAGGAGTGTGCTCTCTGCTATTAAGCAGGTGACTTTTTAGAACTTTTGCCATATAATGTGAGGGAAAGAATATGAACAATTTCCTATGAGTAAAACACTGGAGCACAAAATAAGGACTTGGTATATGAGAGATGGAACAGAAGGGAAGGGTAGAAATATGGCCTTAAGAAACTGAAAGCCATCCTAGAACTTCACAAACCCTCCTCTGAAGTTAAACTGTCGGATCTCCTTTAAGAAGCATGCGGAAGAAAAAAATGTGAGAGAATGAAAAGATGAAAATAAGGTGTTTGTAGATGGGGAGGGGAGGAGGGGGTGAGGGGAGGGCAGAGGTAAGGGGAAAAAATGAGAACCAAGACTTCCCATGTAGAGGTACATGATCCCAACAATGAATGTAACTGTACTGTATCCCTAAAATGTACCAATAAACTCAATAAAATTAAAAAAAATTAAAATAAAGGTAAAAATGTTTTATAAAAAAAAAAAAGAAATAGAAGTCAATACGCATGAGTAGCAGAAGGAAGGCAGCCACACATCATGAAAGAAGACAATGAGATAGTGTTACTGCGGGCTTTCCTGGTAACTGACTACAACGCATAATATGTTGCATTTAAACACCCATCCCTGCTTCAGCTGGATCAGTTACCTGATTCAACTGAATTGTTCCTTGCCTGGCCTCAGCAGGTACAGGGGCAACTCTTCCAAGAATGGTCAGAAAACTTTAGGGAAGCATTAAATGTGTCTGAATTTGTCTTGAATTTGTTGAATCTTTTAAGCAAGTGTAATTTCAGAGAAAAACAAAATGAGTGCAGGTGTGTCATTACCTAAGAAATCATTTATATTCCTCTTTGTAATCTATCTTTTGGACATTTAATAGTTTGTAATCACTGTGATCTTGCCAGCACTTCCATAAGCAGTATGTGCATCATTAATAAAGTTATTTGACTAGAAACTTTTATCACTGCAATGACTGTTGGAAAGCACATATTCGTTCAAACTAAAAATGCATAGGAGCCTGTCACAGTTTTAACATATGCATTCTTCTTGCAGATGGTTGAAAAAGAAGGTTATCTTCAAAAAGCTAAAATTGCAGATGGAGGAAAGAAACTAAGGTAAGAAAAGTTCTTCCTCTCATTACATACAACTATACCAGTTATCCACACCCTTAAACTTTGTCACTGCTATTGTTTGGGAAGGAAGATGCTCTGGTACCAGGCTAAAAATAGCCCCCTTCCTATTACTACTATGTTAAATATTATTTTAATATAATTATGGTTTTAAAAGAAGGGCACGACACTGTATTGTACCACAGTATATATAAATGAAGTGCTTCCTGTCTTCCTGGGACTTGAAATCTTTTAAAAATAATAAGTGAGGTTGGGCAAAAGATCTTGATTTCCAAAATCAGCAGGTCAGAGTATTAATGGACTCATTTACAAAATAAAATATTTCAGTACAGTACTTTAAGACAAAAAATTTGAACAGTAGATAATTTGAATTGTACTTGTGGCTCAAAATAAAAATTATCTCACAAAAGTAAAAGAAAAATAAAGTCACAAAGACAGAGATGAGAGAAATTTTAAATGGTAATAAGGACTCCCGAGACAATAACAACCACAAAAATCACTTCAGGAAAAAAAAAAGTTTCTAGAAGAGCCAGAATATTAGTTATATGTATTAAAAATTAATAAAAAAATCATTTCCATTTTAGAAGCTTTGCTATTTCTCATTTTAGTCTTACTCTGTGTTTAGCTTTGTGGTAGGTGATTAGCAAATAGAAAGGTATGTAAAAAACAGGCATGGGGACACAATGTATTTGCTCATGAAGATGTTACTAACAATTAAAACTATGGAGGATAAATGCAGCAATTAGCTACACAATGGGACACGTGTTGATTGTGTAATATAATTACTTATAAGAATGAAAATCTGGCCAACACTAGAAAATAAAATGTGCTTTGGTTTGAAGTCTATAGTAGATTATGTGCATGCTTATTTAAAAGAAGTAACATTGGGGAGGTATTCATAATTCTACATCTAAAAATAGTTGTGTGAATATTAATACAACAAGCTTCATTTTCTGCCTATATTGTGTTTTGTCCTGAGATATCAAACAGGGCCTTAGATCCACTCCTAGGTTCTACCTTGTTAGTGACCCCACAGCTACCCTTCCTTGAAGGGAAAGAGAAATACACAGGAAACAGTGTCCAACACAAGAGCAAATTAAGAGACTGAACTACTCCCTGTCACCGTGGAGAACTGACATAGTGAATCCAGCTCCTAAAAGGCAACAGAAGGGAGTCTTTTGACTTGGACTAACCCAGCTTGAGTGCCCTTGTTTCCATAGACCTCAGTCCAGCCTATCAAACTCAGGGAGAAGTATGGAGGGTGGAGCAATACCTGTCCCAAGATGAGTAAGTCAAGACTTCGTCTTACCTTCACCACCATGTGAGTCCCCAAGGACTCACCAGAGCTTGGTAGGAGGGAGAAGGTGAAGCACTGATCAGTCCTAAGCTCCATCCTTATGCAAGGAAGGGAAGACAGTCTGAGAATACAAGATGATTCCCACTATACTGGCTTCTAAAGCGTTCTTCCTACAATCCTCCTGTAAGTCAACCTTGTAATATTTTCTCCTAGAAGGCTGTGTCAAACGGAAGCAGAGGCACAGAACAGGGCCCCTCCCCTCTCTAACTCTCATGAGTACATTTTTAGGCAGTTTTCAGTGTATGTATCATTGTGTGTTTGTCTTGTTTATACAACAAACTTCATTGGTTTACATACAATTTCTGCATTGCAGACTAATTCACGTACACACTAAACTGTACTGGTTTATTGTTTCTTCAATCACTTTGCATACCCTTATGCATTCTTTCAGATTTATTTCACTTGAAATCATGTACATTTTAGTTTTCCTTTTTAAAAAAATCTCAGATGCGTGACAGTGAGTTGATTACACCCTTCAGTTTATACCCTTGTGTTTCTGTCGTTTGGAGCAAGGCACCTGGTTGGTTTTATTTCATTCTGTCTACAACTCTCACTTCAGTCCCCTGTAGATATACATTCTAACTGTTCACCAAATCCTCCATCCAAATAAGTATTTGGCTATATGCATGGGTGAAAAAAGCAATGTGTAGTTCTGTGTAACTGGATGTATTCTATATGGAAAAAGCGTTTTTATATTATAAACCTCATTATATTTTATTACTCTCATCAATGTTAGTGCATATGCATCTATGGTGCTATATTTAAAATTAGTTCATTTCTCCTGGTTGCTGCCTGTTTTGCCATTGGGTGTGTGTTCCAAATTTTCTTACCCTCTCCCTCATCCAGGAACCCCAATTGTCTCTAACTCCTTCCATTCAAACAGCAATGTAATAAGCACACATATGTCCTTTGAACCTGTCAGAAAAGCTCTCCAGGGTCTACATCTAAGAATGCAGGACACAGGACATTTATAGACCCACTGAGTGCCATTGCCAGACTTTCGGTGCATGAGGGCACCTATTCACAAGTTTGCTCTATGACACACACACAAAAAACCGTTCTTCCCTTAATCTTGCCAATACACATTATCATGCTCTCTCAATTGTGTCAAGTTCAAAACCACAGACTTTTTCTGCAATGTGCTTTCATTTATATTTCACTGATTGGTATTGTAGTTGAGATTAACTTAATTTGGAATCATCATGACTATGCATTTTGACAGTTGTCTGTTCGCTACAAGTTTTGACTATTTTTAATGAGCTTCTTGACATATACATATATACATATACAGAGGGAAACTTGTAGTATGCGATAATGGAAAAAATTTGGTCAGTTTTAGATATTGTAAATATTTTTCCATATTTGTAGGGTTTTTGTTTGAAGTTTTCTTGTATATACTGTACAAATTAAATACTGTATATATAAGCACTATGTTTAATATCATACAGTATCGGGCCAGGTATTTGCTCAATGGTTCCATCACCTGCCTTGCAAGCAAAAGGACCCAAGCTCAATTCCTGATACAAAATAATAATAATAATAATAATAATAATAATAATAATAATATCATACAGTGCTCCACCATGTTAAATGCTAAACCTGGATTATGAATGAATCTTATTATATATCACCATATTGGTTGCCCAAATTATCTTTTTGATTTTTTTCACTAGCAACAAAATGGTCAATTTAGTCACAACCCAAAAAATCATGTGGTTTTATCCCATTGACAATTTGGTAATTGTTACATAATATGCCACAGTTACTATCTTTTGTAGGTCTTGTATAAAATTTCTTTTCATAGACTATTTCCCATTTATTAAGAATCTTTATATCATTCCAATAAATTATAATGAGCTAATAAGCAGTATTAGTAGATGCTTCCTATGTCAAACAATTGTCTAAATGTTTCACTAATAATATTCAAATAATATTAGAATGAGATTTAGTTACTATTTCCTCCTACACAAATGGAGAAACTTAACATCTCCTTTCTTCCACATTATTTGGAGATAATTGAGAATATGGAATTTAGCTATGTTCTGTTTAAAACATATTTGCTTTCCATACCTTGCTTTGCAAAGCCAAGAAGTAAAACTTGACTTTTTGTTTCATGCCAAAAACAGTTCCAACAGCTTTATCTGTCACTTAATAAATATTATTTATAAAATTTCTTTCAAGTTTTTCTACTAATAAATCCATGCTAGGTCATTTGCATTTTGTATCGTTTCCATATTTTCTTCTTCCCTTTCTTTATTTTCTTTTTTATTTGTCTTTCTCTTTTGTATAGCTACACTTTTTCTTTAAAATTTTTTGATGTATTTCGATATGAACAGGAGAAGGTGACAAGAAATAGAATTTGTTGGCTACATCTTATATTCATAAAAGGCCCTAAATTTAGCCTTATTTCAAAATGAGGTTATATACATTTCCCCTGTGATACACTGACAGACTTGAAAGCAGAATTCAACTTTTAGCATTCAACTTTAATTTTTAATTATGAAAATTGAAATTATGCCTCTACTCTTCTGGTGAAGCTAGGAATTTCTTCATTTGGGAAATTCCATCCCCCAAATTTCAAGTAGCCACTGCCTCTCTCAAACTCTGTGAGACTCCCGTAAAAGCTTATTTTCAATGCTTAAATTTACAAAAGGTGCCTGAAAGCGAGGCTGTGGTATTTCAATACCTTCTACTTGTTTCCCTGAACCCCCATCTTCTCCCGTGCTGATTCCTTTGTGGTTGTCTATCTCTCATCATATACAACTTCCACCCTGCTATCCTCCTCAGAAGCCACAGAAATACTCGGGGTGAAAATATGGGTGGAAGGTGGGTCTGACAGAAATGCAGACCTGTGCCCTGCTCAGATGGCAGTGAGTTCTGTCAGGCTACATTTGTCTTTATTCTCTTGTGTCCCTGACATAGATGTATGTTTTCCCAGTGTCTCTTCAGCCTCCCTTTTACCAGTGGTAAATTACAAGGAGCTGAGAATACAGGAGAGAAGACATCAGTTCCTAGACTTGTCAGTCTTAGAACAAGCCAGAGCATTAGTGTCGGAGGGATTTTTGCAGTAACTCAGTTGAGGACACTCTAGTGAATAACTTCCACTCTCATAACTAGTGCAGAATCATGTCAAATTCAGCATGACCAAAGCAAGTAATTGTGGCCGGTGGTCCAAAGAAGAGATTCTGAAATGTATGAAGTCATCTCGTTTATATTTTTCTCCTATTTTTCATTTTGTCGCTGCGCCTTTACCTAAAGAAGCACAGATTGACATGGGATATAAAACTTTGATATTTAGAGTAAATGAATCTGTTAAACCCAGAGCTCAAACTCACAGATTCTTATAAAGGTAATGACTAGTTTGAGAGCCATTCTCCAGAACGCATTCCCCACATAAGCAGTTCAAAGTTGCTGTTGTGTGCTGCCATCCGGTGTCCATTTTGTAGAATGTCAAGCTGATGCTTATGTGGAGGTTTTTTGTTTTTTGTTGTGTTTTGGGGGTATTTTGTTTATTTGGAGTTTTGCTTGTCTTTCCTCATTTTCCAACATCACAACTCAGAATTTGTTTTAAGAAAGTTCTGTGAAGTAATGCACTTGGATATGATACCTTGGTGGTTGCATACATTTTACATAACTGCCCGTGTATGAATTTAGCTCTCTTTTCTTCATTATAGTTAGCATCGTTACTCCCATAGATGTGACACGTTTTGTGTGTTCAAAGTGAAATAGGTAACCACATTTTCTGTCCCAGGATGTTTCCTGCACCAAATCACTAGCATGAGTGCTGCAGCTAATTGCATGTGCAAGTGCTCTGCTTCACTTGTACCTGGAACCTCTGTCATACTGGGATATTTTCTGAGCTATGTGTCTTGTTTAACTCTTAAGTCTACTCAGTAGCTCACTCTTATGGTCTTTGGTTTAAAAAAAAAAAAACAGAAGTCCTACACTGAATGCTCTGATGAAATGTAAAGCCATTTACTAGTTCCCATGGGTGGGTGGATTTACTTGGTTGCCATCACACAGGACGGAAGCCAGGACACAGGAGCTGTCAGTTCATCAACGCATAGCAGCCCAGGTCAAGCTGAATTGGAGAAGAGGTTCTGATAATTTCTTGGGGGTAGCTGTGACTCTCCTTCTCTGAACTTCTATCGTGAGGTTCCATGTAGACGGAGTCAACAAGTCTAAAGGGAGTGTTCCCTGCACACCTCCTGGAGGAAGAAAAGACCTAGGGATGAGCCTGGACTTCAAGGCCAGGACACTTGGCCTATTTTCTGCCTTTATGACCTGTGCATCTTGTGTAGGATACACCTCACTGGGCTTCCATTTTCTCATCAGTAGTGTGGAGACATCACACAACACTGAGTTATTCAGAGGATTGACTTGTTTCTGTGTTTATTGTCTGTCTTCTTTTATTTTTGTTTATATCATCAAGACTCCGAATTGCGTTCGGCAAGGGTAAATGTACAGCAGGCACTTATGACTGGCTTAGTGGTTCAGTTACATGATGCATGTAACATACCAGGTGGTGCACCAGCTACAGAGCCTGGCCCAGTCACAGGACAGCTCAGATTATGGACAAACGTCTGCAAAGTCAAAAGACTTCTAGAGGAAGCTCTCGAGCATAGGGCTTAGGAGGGGTGGGTCTTTGCCAATCTTGCTAAAAGGAGTCTGGGAACATAGTTAATAAGAGAACCCCGAAGCTGACTGCTGACTCTTGTCACAGAGTACATACAAAGGTTCTTCATTTGAGGTTTTCAACCACAACTACGTCAAAAGCTGACAATGGTGATACCTTTAGATAAGATGGCACTACTTAAATTTTTTAAAAGATGGCATCAATGAGGCTCGGGATTTAGCTCATTGGTGCCACACCTGCCTGTCAAGTGCAAGGTCATGAGTTCAAGCCCAGGTACTGAAAAACTAAAAGATAAAATTAAAATTAAAAAAATAAAAAGATGGCATCAAGTAATAAATACATTATAGGCTTTGTTGTCAGAGAAACTGGCTTTAACATTAAATATAAATGTATGTCATCAAGTTCCCTAAAACCTCTGAGCCTCATTTTTCATATACTAAGTGTATATATTATTTCTGTTATCATTTTTTGTGAGTATGTGAAGCTAAAACCTCATATATACAGTCAAATTTATATTATTGAAAATATTTTATTTATTTATTTATTTTTGGTACCGGGGATTGAACTCGGGTCCTTGCGCTTGCAAGGCAGGCCACTGAACCGCTGAGCTAAATCCCCAGCCCCGTATATTTTATTATTTTTAAAAGAAAGTTTTTTGTTTTTTTGTTTTTTGGGATTTTTTGGTACCGGGATTGAACTCGGGTCCTTGCGCTTGCAAGGCAGGTCGCCAAACCACTGAGATAAATCCCTGGCCCTGAAAGTATTTTAGCAGAATTATTATTTTGAAAGAATTCATAGGGGAAAGTTGAAAGTGAAGCATCTAAATTTTGTTAGCAGGTACTTCATTTTGAAATGAAATTCTTTTCAAATAAAACATCCAACCTTTAGAGAAGCTTTCACTCCCATTCTACTATGATAAAGACAACGTCTGTTGTTTATAAATTCAAGATGAAATAAGACTCTATGTAAAGTGTTCAAGAAGGTCACATTATGGGGCAGGGATTTAGCTCAGTGGTTCTGCCACCTGCCTCACAAGCACAAGGTCCTGAGTTTGGTCCCTGGTACCAAAAGAAAGAGAGAGAGAGACAGAGAGAGAGAGAG